AGTAGAGAGAGAGAGAGAGAGAGAGAGAGAGAGAGAGAGCTAGGAGGCTCTGACCCACTGAGTTGATGAATCTCGTTCGAGTAATGGAAAATTGCGCGCGCGAGGATCGTCGGTTTTGCACGTTTTGAAGGCTTTCGGCGAAGGTTCTGATGATGATAGTTTTATTCGAAAAATAATTCTTCTCGCTGATTATTTTTTTTTTTTTCTTTTTTATTGTACAATGTGTAGAATTCTTATCTATGTGAAACATCCTCTACCGCGAGTGTATCTAGTGTGAAACGATCTTCGTTCTTCCTCTATTCTCTTTACTCATTTCCTTCCTATCGTTGAAGTATTAACGAAGTTGAAAAAGAAGGAAGGAAGAAAAATATATTTCGATCAACGAACTGATATTTAGTTACTATAAAGACGATTAATTAAGGAGAAGAAGCTTCGATTGAAAGGTAATCTAGCTCGCCTAATTCGAGAAGCCTTACAAACGTGTATATACGTATATAACCCTCCCTCCCCTTTTAGAATTATCGCGGTAGAACTCGAATGAAACTCCGAACTCGATCTTTTTCCACGTATTCGTCCGATATCGTCAACCCCATTCAATTGTTGACAATTGGCTCGACTGACAAATTATTGCACGAACGATGCGATAATTTATGCGAATCCGTGGATAACAGTTTTTCCGAGCTCGCTCGGAAATTCTAATTCTCGCGCCGAAGAACAGCAAGAAGCGAGGGGAGAAGCGAGAAGAGGGTGAGAAGAGTTGGGAGAGAGGGAACGAAAAAAAAAAAAGAAAAAATCGAGGAAATCGCACAAAGCGAAGATGTTGCGATAAATTCGTTGGACGATACTCGGAATATCGTGATACCGATCGATTCAAGGTCGAAGAGCGGAGCATGAGTCACGATTTTCGGCTCTTTTTCTCCGGGGACGTGTGTATATATATATATGTATATATAAAGACGACCAAGTTATCGATTCGGGTCGCGTCGTGGTGGACGGTGACACGTACGAAGCGCGAATTTTAAATTCGCGCGGCCAACGTAAGAGAGGACGCGATTCGTGGAGAAACAATGGTTAAAAAGTAATGGGATTTGCATTTGGGATACGAAGTGGAATCGGGGAATAAAACGCGGAGAAAATGGCGAGAGACGAAAGATAGGAAGAACTCTCGTTGAAATTATTTTTCTCTCGTTTCTGTTTTCTTTCCTTTTTTTTTTTCCTTCCTTCGTTAAATAATGGTCGCGCGAAGGGACACGATCGATCGGAAAATTTAATCGCAACTACGATTTAGGAATCGCGGAAACAAGGGCGAATCGAAATAGCTGGCTAATCGCATCAGAGTCCGTAGGGAGAGGATCGTGCATTAATACGAGACTAACGGAGAGCAGAGATATAAACCGATAAAATTTACTGTAACCATAAAATATTTTACGCCCCTCCAGTCGGTTGAGATCGTACTTAGCCCGAGTTATCTGCGTCATAAATTCGGTGGGACGGGACGCGAGGCTCGTCGCGAAAACCTAACCTTTTTTTTTCTTTTCTTTTCCGGCCGCTTATTCCCCGATAAAAAGGAAAGCCACGGATGACGGACGTGGGAAGGTAGGATACTACTACTACTACTACTACGTATATACGTGATCGCGTGGTTTATGCGTCGAGGCGTTCTTCTAGGCTTCGAGTAAACGTTCGAGGAAAAGGGGGAAGCAGCGTCCGAGTGGCGAATGTAGGGAGCAAGATAGGGGGAGAAAAATGGAAAGTGGAGGGGAGAGAGGGAGGGAGAAAGCAAGCGTAGGTGGAACGGTTCGATCAGCGAGACGAGGAATCCGGGGTCGTTGAAGAAACGCGTCGAGTTGACTCATTCCAAGCGACGACGAGTTCGCGAGCACGTTGGGCCGTTTCTACATTTCCATGCGCAAGGTGCAGCATGCGCGGGCAGCGATCACGGTGTCCGTACATACGTCGCGTACGTGTGTGCCGCCTAAGAAACAGAACTGTCCGTTGACGTCATCCGCTAACAAATTATTCGACTCGCGGGAATTCGACGTGCCCGCTGAACGTAATATCGTGCGAATAGAGTATTCCAGTTTATCTCTCCTTTCTTTTCTTTTCTCTTCATCTCTAGATTTTTAACCATTTATCTGGAAAGAGAGACGCGTCGGACGGAATTAATTGATAGATTCGATTAAAATTCTTCTTACGCTTTTTTTTTTTTTGATCGACTTTCAAAAGATCCACACAGCTGGAAAAAAATAAAGTTAAAAAGTAAACGATACGGCGCTGTTATCGATTTATTATTGCGACGCTTAATAAGAGGAATCTTCTAAAATATTTTCCAACTTTGTTATCACGAAACTAACGTCCGCGAGAAACGTTGACGAAATTGGAGAATCGTGTCGTCGTCGAACGGGGAAGGGAAGTTTCCACTTTCGTTAATTGTCGACAAAATATCCTAACATTAATTCGAACCAGGTCTACGCTCCCATCCCTCGACGCGCATCGATCCGAAATCCAAAACGATCATTGGTGCGTGAAACGACATAATCGAGCTTTCTCGCACAGATAACGAGGTTGCGCTGTTAAAGAAGGGGAGTTCTCGTTACTCGCACTCGCGCATACACGCATACGTGTGTGTGTGTGTGTACGCGCGCGCGCACTCGTACACTTACGCGTTTGCGAGAGACGAACGATGAAACAGTAGTCATAGAAAGGGTTGCCCGAGTGTCGAGCACATAACGTACAAATTATACGTGGCCACGGAACGGGTGATTTACACGCAACAAACGAAGCATGGAAAACCGTTATCGCGAAGTTCACCGTGGTTAACGTGTTAAGTATCCATCGAGAAACATCTGATAAACTTAATCCGATCGTCTCGCAGCGGTCGTTAACATAAGGATAGTCAAATTTTCGACGTTCACTGGAGTAGGCTTGGATACCGCTTTAATCGGCAAGCTAAGCTTTCGTAATACGAATCGACTCGTTATAAGATTGAAATTTTCGATTAAAATGTAAAATAGCTACGGTTATGGCCTAATCCCTCGAGCCTTGATGTTTATTCGGATAATTGGGTCCTGTATTTCATCGCGAAATTACACAATTACGACCCATTTTCTCGCAGTCGACTCGAGATATACGATGGATATACGAACGAAATTTCGAATAAACTTACCCTGTATGACGTCGACATCGCGCAGGAACCTCTTAAGGACTCCCTTCGGTCGCTCCAACTCCTGGAATCAAATAGAAACGTGCGCTGAGTGTGCACCGAGTAACGGCGCGATAGTAAATCATAGCGTAGCGAGTGGAACAGACTGGCAAAAGCGAAGAGAACGAGAGCAAACGCGCGTTACTCTTCGCTAAATCTGCTTGTCAGTGTGTTCTCAGCCTGAACGTGTTCAAAACCGTACTTCCATTCGATGATCGCGTCCGTGCAGGTATAGCAGTCTCGGCTCCATCCTACTCGGACGGAACCCCGAGACTTTTGAAAAGTACTCGGAAACCTTCGAGCAAGAGTGTAATTTCCACAATTAGCGCTCGCTTCTCTGTAAGAGTATACTATCTATAAAGACGCGCGCGTTGGGCACGCAGGCACGCGTGTGTATGCGCGCCTCGCCTTATTTATAGTTCTCGGTATGTCCCGTGGTTTTAAGGTCTTCGTAAAGTACCGTTCGGTTAGCGTTGTGTCGGTTTAGAGCGCGCTTTAAACACCAAAGCGATATTCCCTGTAATTACCGACGGGGTTCACGCGTGTACGCGAGCGCATGCGCAGACGCGGCTCAGCCAAAAGCCATCCGCGTAGCACACGTATAACGCGGTATGAAGATTCGTTCGGGCATAAATCTCGTTTACCGGGCACAGTGTATATACCGTACGTACACGAGCAGATGTACGAGCACGGAACCGATCCCGAGTCGGCGAACCGTCGATTTGCCGCATGCCCGACAGCGTTACTTTTGTATCGAGCTACGCGACCGCGTAACGCGCCTACACACACATACAGGCGCGCAAATAATTACAACCTTCTAGAAGAGCGGAGCAACGGTGGAGGAGGAGGCGGAGGAGGCGCAGGTGGAGGTGGTAGTAGGTAGAGGCGGAGTGAGAGGAGAAAGAGAAGCAAACGAGCCACAGTTCAAAAAGCATCCCACCGATAATACCCATATTCCCGGCCATCGAGACCCGCAGAGCTGCGCAAAATTCCAGACTCGCCGCGTTCCTTCCTTCTCTCTCTTTCTCTCTGTTTCCCATCGCGACTCTTTCTCTTTCCCTCCCAACCCCCCTCGCTCTCCCCCATTCGATATCTTTCTCCGTCGCTCTAACGAGGAGAGCAGACCGTTACTGGTTCCCGTGTTACGCGCGGCATCGCCGGGAGCGACGATAATATAAAGCTCGTCGTTCTAGCCGTCGCGGCGCTACGCTGGCGGCGCGCGGCGGGACTCGCGAATACACGCATACACGGGGAGAGCGACGAACACACGAGGCGAAGCAACGACGACAATGACAAGGGAACGAGGAATACGAACGACGAGTATACGGCGACACAGTGGAAGAAGACAGACGCATAGAGGAGAGAGACTGAACCGAGTACTACGTGTATCCATCGCGTGTGCCTCGCGCTCGCGTGTGCCTCGCGCTCGCGTTTTCATCCCGCGCGCAAACAAACACACGGATCGGCGGTGTAGCGACGTGCACACGCGCACGTATGTGCGTGGTGTGTATATGTGTATATACGATCGGACAAAAGATAATCGCGGAGAGCTGGCTGTCGTGTCGGCCTGCTCTGGCCGCCTATGCTACCTGCACCCGCCGAACGTGATACGACGCAGAGAGATCGTGGCAGGCTGAAGGGGGACTGCTCGAAGGGGGGGAACGAAAGCCGCGAGTTCGAAAAAACGAAACGAAGAGAAGTCGGTGGGAAAACGCGAGAAAAGAACTTCTTTCCCCTTTCTTTCTTGTACCTCGCTACTACTCTCCGTACAGAAGAGAGCGGAGAAAGAAGTCGACGTATAAATGAGAAGAGCATAACCGTAGTAGGTAGAGAGAAAGGTTGTGGGAGAAAAGAAAAGGAAAAAAGAAAGCATGGGGGCAAGAAAAAGAGAGAATGGTGCAGAGGCGAGTAATAAGGACAGAGAGCCGGCGGTGTACGTGGGGTGAGTTGGGAACGAGCGGTTTCGTGGGTCGGTGGGTGGACCGGGAGAGAAGCGTAGCGGACCGAGATAGAGCGCGGCAGAAGCGGAGGCAAAGAGAAGAGGAGATGGAGGCAAGGTGGGATGAGGTTGGTTAGACGGACGCGGCGGGGCCAAGAGACGACTACGACGACGCTACGACGACGACTACGACGACGACTACGACGATGACGACGAACGCGTAGTAGAGCATAGGAAAGGAGCGTAGCACCGGCATCAGAAGCGGAGAGGCGGAGGAAGGCGGGGAGACACACGCTCTGCGAGAGGCGCTGGCTGAGTTTGTGAGCACGCGCTACTACTCTTCGAGTTCTATCTGCCCGTATCCCCCCGTTCCTCTCCGCGCTACGCTACGATACTTCTTTCTCGCTCGTGCCCTTCCGCGCCTCTGCCGCGCTCTCGTTCCCTCTTTCTTCTTCGTTCGCGGTGCACGTACTACATATATACGCGGTCTCTCGATCCTCTCTCGCTTACGCTCCTTCTCTCGATTCGCTTCGCGTTCGTCCTTCCCTCTGCCATCCTTCTCGCCCACCGCGCGCGCTCACTCTCTCTCTCTCTCTCTCTCTCTATCTCTCTCCCTCCCTCTTTCTCTTTTCTACGTTCGCACCGTCCGTCGCCGAGCTCGTTCGTGCTGCCGCTCTCCCTCTGTCCCCCTCTGGGTTCGTTCCTGACACTCCAACCAGCCGCCTTCCCCGTCCCCGTCTCCGCTCTTCTTCCTCGCGACAGCCGCATCGGTTCTCGTTCTGCGTCCGTGTGCGCGCGACCGTGTGTACGTGTGGAACCGCGTAGATGTGTAGATGTAGCTCTCTTTCTCGCGTGCACGTTCCACGGCCCGGTTCCTCCGCTCCACGTTTCCCCGGCCTCGCCGCCTCGCCCATCGTTCCCATCCCCCGCCCGTCGTCTCTTTCTCTCCACCGCGGCCCGCTCCTTCTCCGTCTCCGTTCAACTCACCTGCTCGGTTTTCGCGTCCTTCTCGCGACCGATCCTCCCGCCCGTTCCGTGGTGTGTCCCGGCGTATATGAGACACGAGAAAGGCTCGGCAGAGGCGAGTTCGCGTTCCATCGTAAAGCGCTGGCTGGAATTGGTATATCGGGGGATGGAACGCGGGGCTTAAGGGGAACGAGATATGGGCCGTAACGTACCGACACGTTCAAGACGGACGTCGTTTGCGGACGAGATCTGAAGGCATTCCGGGTTGTTGCACCGGAAGAACGGGCCTAAAAGCTTCTCCTTTCCCTTCCTTTTTCTTCCCGCCTCTCCTCTCCACCATTTCGCGAGCAGCGCCAAAAGTTTCGATGCGCCGGATAAAGGAGCCTCGGATAATTAATAATACGAGAAAATGATGGACGGGACGCACGAGGAACGCCGCGAGGAAAGGACGGAGATGAGCTCGAACCTGGTGTTTCGTGAAAGAGTTTTCGAGAAAATAATGTCGATGGTATAAGATCGAGTATATATATATATAGGAGAAAAAGCTGGAATTAATGGTCCGTCGAGTTACGAAGTGGATATCGATACCGTCGTTAACACGGTCGGTGATCGGTAATTGACATTCGCGTGAAAGGGGAACACGCGAGATATTCGAGAAGGAAATTATTATCGTCATCGAATCCCTAAAGAAAGCGATCGAGGGATCGTTTAATAAAGTTGGAATAGAAACTCGAGAAAGAAAGGATCGGCCCCTATCGCGAGTGGAAATCGCGATAAGGTAAATGAGAAAAGTAGTAACGAGATCCAGGAAGTCTTTCGAATTTATACACTCTGGTCCGTTAAGTCAACGCTAGAAGTGTTCGTCGCGGGAAACGCGACAGGATTATGATAATTAATCCTGACCACGAATAACTGCAAAATCGCGAGAGAGAGAGAGAGAGAGAGAGAGAGAGAGAAAACTTCTTACGTATACATATGGAAACGATGATTTCCATAAATAAACAGCGGCGATAAGGCGACCATAGGAAAACGGAAGCGAGAACCGCCAGAAGGGGACGCGATAGCGCGTTTTTCTCATGATTTCCGTCGAATTATTCGCATTGTTGATAACTTTGATACCTCGAAACTCGCGTATATAACCGTTCTGTTCCGATGACGCGAAAACTATCGATAAATCATTGCTCGTCATCTCCCCAAAAAAGAATGGAAGGAGAGAGAGTGAGAGAGAGAGAAAGAGAGGAAAAAAAATATGACAGACCAAGTTGATGATCCAATAAAACCTCGGTGGGTTACAAATCGATCGTTGTTCGCAATTCGCACACATGTTAACACGGTTTCTCTCACGAATACGAAACTTATGAATGAATACAACGGGGTTACATGTGTAATCACAGTTGTGGTGCACGTGCGCGCACACAGGCACGCCGGCACATATATAGATAGCCGTGTATATATAATATCGGTCAAATCGCTTGTTGTTCGCTTGTTAGAGCAATCAGGTTTTGCGCGCGTGCACAAACACGCCGCGTAGATCAGTTTCACGGGCGCATAATCGGCCATCGTCCATCCGTTTGTCTCGCCCCGACCTACAAATATATGATAATGGGGCCGGCGATAAAGTAACGGGCGCGAAACGACGTATCGAGTCGAATGAAAAAGTTGACAAACGGAACGATCGATCGATACGACGAATTTCGATCCTGTTACGACGCGGACCAATCGCTCCCCTCCCCTCCCCTCCCCTCCCTCCAAAAGCTTTGATCGTTCTCGCGAACATATTCTGGCAAACTCTTTACGCGTAATTTCCGATACCGCTTCCCAACTCCGTTACGCTTTTTCGCCGTTTCCGCCGCGTTCGCGTAATAACCTGGACATTTCGAGACGGCATCTCGATCTCGAGATACAACGACATAACATCTGTGAATTTTAATGGAAACTCTGATCGTGAAGCGATTATCGAAGTAAAACGAAGCGGCGCGTTTCTTCGTAACGTTTCAATAAATTCGTTTTAATAAATACGATGTTTTATTTATCACGTATAATCGATGGAAGAATAATTAGAAGAATCTCGTTTCCATCCTTCCACGTACGACGGGACACGTCGTTGGTTTTTAATCCTT